GCAACAGGCAGCACAAGACTGTACTCTGAGAAAGAAGAAACAAACATAACAATCCCTACAATTGCCCCAATTGCTGACGGGACATTTCCAAGCCACCACATAGGAAGGAGAACCAGAGTCCAGTGGACCCACTAAGTTGAAGAGAGAGAGATGAGTCCTCAAGGAGGCCAGGGCAGCTGGAATTTGTTGGGTAGAATATGGGGAGGAGCAAGTTACATAAGAGAAGTCCAGAGGTCTGTACACAAAGGTCTCCTTAAGTTTTTGGCTAAATACTAAGCTGCATATATGTGAGGTAAACTCTAAAAGAGTGAATAAAGAACTGTCAGAAAGTAGTAGTTGAATCATTCTTAATATTCCTCTGAGGCTGCGAATAGTTCACTTTCTCACTGTCTGGACTGGAAAGACCTCATAATTCACAGGCATCTGGTAGAGCCCTCAGAAAACTTTTGTAATTGGGTTAAATTAGCACTAAAATAAAGGCAAAACTGGATTCACCCTAAAAAAAATTTACAGCAATCTTCAAAAAGCTGAACGTGATCTCAAATAAATTAACTGCGTGTCAAAACAAAGTCTAACCCTTTTTAGAGAAATAAATCAAAATCCATCAAGCAAAAATGTAAAATTCACAATGTCTAATGTTTAATAAAAAATTACAAGGCATGAAAGTATGACTCCCAACCAAAAGAAAAATTGATGAATAAAAACATCCAGAAATGACACAGCTGGTAGAATTAGCAAACCAGAACATTAGATCATCTACTACAAATATACTCCATATGTTCAAGAACATGAACATGTAGAAGAGAGAAATGGAAGATATTTTTAAAAGAGGTAAGTGAAACTTCTAAAGATGAAAAATGCAATATGTGAAATAAAAAAATATACTACAAGGGGCTGGGTGCAGTGACTCACATGTGTAATCCCAGAACTTTGGGAGGCTGAGGCAGGTGGATCACTTGAGGTCAGGAGTTCTAGACCAGCCTGGCCAACATGGTGAAACCTCGTCTCTACTAAAATACACAAAAATTAGCCAGGTGTGGTGGCAGGTGCCTGTAATCCCAGCTACTCAGGAGGCTGAGGCAGGAGAATTGCTTGAACCCAGGAGGCAGAGGTTGCAGTGAGTTGAGACAGAGCAAGACCCCATCTCAAAGAAAAAAAAAAAAAAAAAAAAAAATTTTACCAGGGACTGACAGTAGATTAGATAGTGCAGAGGAAAAGTTTGGTGAACTTGAAGGCATATCAATAGAGACTATAAATTAATGAATCACAGAGAGAAAAGAGGATTAAGTAAAAAGAGCATCAGTGAACTGTGGGACAATATTAAGTGGTCTAACATTTGAGTAATTGGAGTTTAAAAGAAGAAGCTGAGGACAAAAAACATCTTTGTAGGAGTAACAGGAAAAAAATTTCCAAACTTGGTGAAAGTTATAAATCCACAGATCTAGGAAGCTCAATAAACCCCAAGTAAAAAATAAAACAAACTGTAAAGAAAAGCACATCAAACAAAGTTACCACGCTGATTCAATGAAGAAAGTTTATCTTTCTAATAAACAGTGCTGGATTAATTAGACATTCATATGTGAAGGGACAGAAAAAAGAACCTCAACGCTTAGTTCAACTGTAGAGAAAAAATAACTCAAAATGGACTACAGACCTAAATGTTTAAGAGCTGAAATCTATACAACTTCTAAGAGAAAATATTTATGACCTTGAGTTTAGGCAAAAATTTCTTAGATGGGACACAAAAGACACAAACTGTAAAAGAGAAATACTGGTAAACTGAACATCATAGAAATTAAAAACTGGATAGGCACAATGACTCACGGCTGTAATCTCAGCATTTTGGGAGACCAAGGTGGGCAGATCACCTGAGCCCAGGAGTTTGAGAACAGCCTGGGCAACATAGTGAGTTCCCATCTCTACAAAAAATTAAAAAGTTAGCCAGGTGTGGTGGTGCTTGCTTGTAGTCCCAATTATTTGGGAGCCTGAGGTGGGAGGTACACCTGGGCCCAGGAGGTTGAGGCTGCAGTGAGCCGTGATCGTGCCACTGTTCTCCAGCCAGCCCAAGTGACAGGGCAAAACCCTGTCTCAAAAAATAAAATAAAATAAAAACCTATTGCTATTAAGACACTGTTAAGGAAAGTGTTAAAAGGAAGCCACAGATAGAAAATATTTACAAATCATTACAAACTGAATATATATTTACATATCATAATTCATAAGGAACTCATAACTCAATAAGGAGAAAACAAGAATTAAAACTGAGCAAAAGATTTGAACAGACACTTCACCAAAGAAGAGGATGCATGTCAAACACATGAAATGGCGATCAGCATCATTACTCAACAGGGAAATACAAATTAAAACCACAGGGAGATACTGCTCACATTCACCAGAAAGGCTAAAACTCAGAAGACTGATAACACTAAATGTCGGAGAGGAGGTATAGCAACTAAAATTTTCATCATACATTGCTGCTAGAAATGCAAAATAGTACAACAACTTTAGAAAACACTTTGGCAGTTCCTTATAAATATACACTTACCATACCACCTAGCAATTCCTCTCCTAAGTACCCGTGAAAAATAACTTACATGCTCATAATGACTTCTGTGTGAATGTTCATAGCACTTTTATTCATTACACCCAGATTCTGTAAACAACCCAAATATCCATCAACTGATGAATGAATCAACTGCCAAAATTCTTCAATCAGTTCTTTCTTGCTTCCATTTACTTGTCTCATGCTCTTTCCTGAATCCTTTATAGCTGTCCCTTATTCTATCTAAACCCTCAATAGTCTTCTGTTATCCAGCCAAACCCAGAAAGGTTTTTGTAATCTCCTTTTTTCTAATAAATTGCATTTGCCATTGTTAATTCCTTTTTTTTTTTACTTTGCATTCTCACTTCCTTGGGCTTCTATGATAATGAATTTTCACTGTTTTCCCATATTGCTCATGGATCCCTTTTTTTTTATATATATATTATTTTTGGCTCTTCTCCTTTCTGACCTCTAACCATAGATGGCCCCCAAAGCTCAGCCTTTAGTTCTGTTTTTGTTCCAACATTCATTTCTTTGCTTCTCACATGTGACTGTTCTTCCCCTGCTCCCCACTACATCTCTTAGTCCTCAAACTGCCTTTACCATGGTTCAGAGTCTTTTCTTTGCCTGAAGGGAAGGTCTGATCATTTCACTCCCTGATCACTTGCTATGTATTCTATAACCAAACAAAGTCAGCTGTGATGTAATGGTAATAGCACTGAACTTAGACTCCAACAACCTGGGTTCAAGTACTGGCTCTGCCACTTACTAGCTAGGTGACCTTGGATAGGTTAATTAACATCTTTTCAGAGTTTCTGTATCTGAAAGATGGGAATGGATAATACCACATCATAGATTTACTATAAGGATGAAATGAGATAAAGTTTCTGTATCTGAAAGATGGGAATGGATAATACCACATCATAGATTTACTCTAAGGATGAAATGAGATAAAAATTAAAACAGTTTATAAAACATAAGTCATTATTAAGCATGAATATGAGTTTTCAACAAATATATGTTAACTCATAGATGCCAAGCATTGCCTACACACTGATGGGCAAGCAGACAAGGTCCCCTGCACTCATGTCTCACTCACAGTCTCGAGAGAAACACAAGCAATTAAGCAAATTTAAAAACAGACATGGTATATTCTAAGTCTGGAAGAAATAACAGGTGCTTGAAGTAGCACATAGAAGGAACAGGGATGATTCAGAGAGCTTCCTGAATAAAGTTACATCAAAGATGACATCTAAAAGATTGGCATGAGTTGGCCAAGTAGAGGGTGGGAGCGGAATGGGTGGCAATGACAGAGAGGTGTGGCAAGTGATCCAGCTAGGGAATAGCATGGGCAACAGCTGGGAAGGCAGCAAGTTCATGGAGCTTTCTAGGAACAGAAAGGGGATCTTGGTATGGCTGGAGTGTAAAGTTGGGTACAAAGAGAGGGAGAAACAGTGGGGAAGAATGGGCAGGGAAAAAAACCAAAGAGATCATACATGCGATTTCCAGCATGGGTCAAGCAAGCAAGAGATTGATGATCCAAGATGAAGTAGCGGGGTATTCTAACTGTGGGCCAAGCATTGTGATAGGAAATTGAGTTGATCAGTATTGAGAAGTTACCCATGTAGACAGACAGCATCCAACAGGCCTGTCCATGAATCCTAGTCACCGAGCTGTATTCCCCAGGAGGACTCAGTCCCAAAGAAGGGAGATTGACAAAAACAAGGCAGGTTCCCAGCAAAAAGCGACACACCAATCAATTTTATTTATAAAGGGCAGTGATTTTTCAAGACATTTCCACGTCTCAGACCTTTGAAGAAAATGGTCACTACATCTTTGCAAGCCAGGCAGAAGCAGGTATCACTACTTTTATCCAGTGTTCAGTTAATCACATCCATTAACAGAATAAAGGTGGCAGAGTTAGTCCTATCCATTATTTGGTTGACAAGTGCTGATGGTATCAGTCATATATAATATTTTCTTTAATCCTATGTTTTAAATTTAATTTTAATCCAGGAATGGCTAGCTCCAAAACAAGTATAAAATGGGATATAGTGAAAAAATCATTAGGTTGGAGGTTAGGATTTGGTTTCCAGTCTTAACTCCGTCACCAACCTATTGATTGACACTTGGCAAATCACTTCAAGTCCTCAGAGCCTCAGTTTCCTCTAATTGGACTAGCCCATTGATTGCTAAGGACGTTTCTGACACTCAGATCCTTTGACTTCAAGTCCTGAGGGCAAAAAGAAAAAAGGCTAGGATTCCACATGTATTGAAGAATGTTTAAAATTTATTTTTACCCCCGTCTTTATTTCTAATTTGTTTTCTATCTTGTTTCTCATTCCTCACAGTTCTGTCATTTCCCTTTTCCCTGAAGATATTTACGAAGCTGCCTTTGCATCACTTTAAAACTGTAAATATGCCCTTGAAACATGCAAAGAGGCTTTTGTGTACTTACAAATCGAGGTTATTATCGTACAAGTAAGTCACTTGAGTGCACTGCATTCCTCAGCTTGCTCCATTGAGAGCTTTATTAGGTTATATTGTCCTATCTCGGAAGATAAGACTTTCCCACTTTAAAGGGTGGGCTATCTGATGAAACAGTGTGCCGAATGCTCCAGAGTATAAGCAAAAGGATTTTGGTGCTGCCCAAAAGACAGACACACTTCTCTAAGACAAGTAGGTGCTTCACTTAAAGGGGCACAGTCAAGGACAAATGTTCTAAAATTAAACCAACCAGCTGCAGACGCCCACATGTCAATTATGCTGTCTTCTTGTCCAGCCTTCTCTTTCCATGAAACCAGAATTCCCACTCACTGCAACCCTGGAAACTTCACATACTTCCAAGCGGCCACCTATCCATGGAAGCAGAAAGCCTGTTTTGGAACATACTAGGATACATGTACTCATCTGACAGAATGTTGCAGTGAGCTGAGATCACGCCTCTGCATTCCAGCCTGGGCGACAGAGCAAGACTCTGTCTCAAAAAAAAAAAAAGAAAGAAATAGGTTTTACTATGGAGGTGATTTGTCTTTTCATTAGATTATATTAGGCAAAAGTTCCAGGGATTTCTCCCGAAATGTTTGTAGTCATTCCTGCAGTTGGCGCAAATTTATTACTGAAAATATTCAAATATTCAATACTTTTTAAATGCTATCTTTGAATAATGTAATGAATAACTAATAAGCTGATTAATATTAAATATATGGGTTTTTTTTCTTTTCTTTTTTTGAGACAGAGTCTTGCTCCGTTGCCCAGGCTGGATTGCAGTGGCGCAATCTTAGCTCACTGCAACCTCCGCCTCCCAGGTTCAAGTGATTCTCCTGCCTCAGCCTCCTGAGTGGCTGGGACTACAGGCGCGTGCCACCACACCTAGCTAATTTTTTTTGATTTTTAGTAGAGATGGGATTTCACCATATTGGCCAGCCTGGTCTTGAACTCCTGACCTCGTGATCCGCCCACCTCGGCCTTTCAAAGTGCTGGGATTACAGGCATGAGCCACCATGCCCGGCATATTAAATATATTTTTTCTATAAAGTAAAATTGTGCTAGTTATGTTGGAGGGAGTATAAGATTACCATAAAAATTAAGATATTTTTAAAGTGATAAAGTTTATTGTGAGGCAATATGTACCTAGAAGTTTTGCTTATTAATGAAATGTACATTATAAAAAATTTTTATTATAGTTATTCCATTATTTTTATATTGGAAAATCAAAATAAACCTGTATTGACATGATTCAGATTCACTCATTCAGTAACATTATTGAGAATTCATAAGATATTGTATTAGATGTTGGGGATATATAAGGATGCATCAAAACATAGCATAAACACACACAAAAAATATAAATAGTCCAAGCACAGTGGCTCATGCCTGTAATCCCAGAACTTTGAGAGACCAAGGCAGGAAGATCTCTTGAGGCCAGGAGTTTGAGACCAACCTGGGCATCATAGTGAGACTTAGTATCTACAAAAAATAAAAAAATTAGCTGGGCATGGTGGCAATCACCTGTAGTCCCAGCTACGCAGAAGGATTACTTAAACCCAGTAGTTCAAGGCTGTGGTGAGCTATGATCATGCCACTAGACTCAAGCAAGACATTGTCTCTGGAAAAAAAAGAAAAGAAAACAATACTTAACATATATAGGCGATCATAATAATAGGTATCATAAATTATTTGAAAAGTTATAATGGGAGTTTACTGGTATACTCAGAAACAAATTACTAAAACAGAATTATTGAATAAACATACAAAGTTTAGATGCTTATATTTTCTTTTTCAAACTTTGCAGGAACTTATTGGTTTTTCAGGCCTTTCTATCTACTAAATATAACTATACTTCTAACTTTATTATAAAACATCCAATATGCCATTTCTATATATTTGAGTACAAAAATAAAGACTTAGTTTATGTACAGTTTTAGAAACTGTGTTTTATAAAAGTTAAGCCGCCTTGAGTTTTTACATGTCACTTCTCATCAAGGATGGGTAATAAGGACCAGATTTACCCTCCCACTGGAAACAAGTAAAAAACTGGACAAAATATGTGAAGCAGTTGTTTTAAAGTATTGAACATCAAGTAGAAGAGGAAAATGATCCTTGGGAGAAGGGAAACAAATGAGGTGAGCCCTACAATTACTCCAGCTTACTGCCTAGAGAGGGTGTCCAGTCTGCAGTGCAGGGAAGAGGAACCTACATAGAGCTTGATGAATTTCCTGACTTAAGGACTCGAGAATCTGGGAAAGACCAAGAGAGCTACAGTTTGCAAGGTAGAGTTCCCAAGAAGAGAGTACTATATTGGAAGAGACTTTCAGAGATTTGCAGATGGTCCTTCTCAAGTCTCCAGCTGAGAACTGTTCTACACATGTCCAAGAAAACTACCTGAAGCCAGAGAGAAACACCCTGAAGGATGGAGGGAACAATCCCCAGAGGTAACATGGGGCCAGCAATAGACAGACAGTGTGGGAAACCTTGTAATTCATTGTTGGAGTAATTAGAAGGGTATCACCTCAGTAGAGGGGCAGAATTAGCCCTATGCTAGAAAATGCATTGATCCCACATAACAAAATGTAAAAACAAACCTCAAAGTGATCCAGCTATTTCCAAGAAACTGAATTGCATCCCGAGAAAAAACTCAAGAATACAAAAATATTCAGCACCCAACAAGGTAAAATTCACGATACCTAGCAGCCAATCAAGACCTGCAAAAAAACAGAGAAATGCAACTCATAATAAAAAGAAAAATCAATAGAAACAGACACAGAAATGACACAAATGATAGAGTTAGTAGCTGAGGAGTTAAAAACAGTTATTATCACTGTATTTCTTATGTTCAAAAGGTGGAAGAAAGATGGAGCACATTAAGCAGAGGCATGGAAAAGATAGCAAAAAAAAAAAAAATTGAATGACCATTTTCGAAGATTCTGATGCCTGAGATGAAAAATACACAACAAACAGAATTAGTAGACTAGACACTGTAGAAGAAAAGATTAGTGATGTTTAATACATGGCAATAGAAATGACCCAATATGAAACACAGGGAGAAAAAAAGCCAGAAAAAGAAGTGAATATAGCATTAGTGAGCTCTGGGACAGCTTCAGGCAATTTGGTACATGTAGTTGGAACCAACAAAGGAAAGAAGGGAGAGGAGGGGAACAGAAATTTTTAACAAATAATGGTTGAAATATTTCTAATTTTTATAATAACTATAAATCCATGGATCCAAGAAGTGCAACAAACCTTAAACACAAGAAACAAGGAGAAGTCTACTCCCAAACACATAATAATCAAATTGTTTAAAAAGTAATGGTAAAAAGAAAACCAGAAAAGCAGCCAGAGAAAAAAACAGCACGTTACGTACAGAGGAACAAATCTAAGAATGACCGAAGTTTTTTGCTGGAAACAATGTAAGCCTGAAGACAGTGGGGGCAGAAACTTTTAAGTGCCAAAAAAAAAAAAAGAAGAAGAAGTCAACTTAGAATTCTATACCCAGCAAAAAATATTTTACAAAAATGAAGATGAAGTCAAGACTTTTTCAGACATAAAGAAGCCAAAAAATAAATAAATAAATAAGTTTTTCACCAGCGTCTAGACTTGCACTGAAGGAAATCCTTCAGACAGAAGAAAAATGATACCAGAGGGATATCTGGACCTACAAAAAGGAATGAAGATCATCAAAAAGGAAAAATAGGTGAATACATGTGAAATGCCTTTTTTAATTTCTAAAATCTCTTTAAAGGTAATTAATTGGCTTTTTAAAGCCAAGGTATTAATAGTGTGTTGTGGAGCTTATAACATATATAGAAGTAATATGCATGACAACAGTGCAAAGGTTGAGGGGAGGACTATTCGTAGTTTCTTATACTATATGTGAAGTGGTAAATATCATCAATGACATTAAAGGTAAAAGATGTAAACATCCCCATTAAAGGCATAGATTATAATATTGGACAAATTTTTTTAAAAAGATTAGGTATGCTGCCTGTAAGAAGCCCCCTTTAAATATAAAAACATAGCTAAGTTAAAAGTAAAAGGACAAGAAAAGGTATACCCTACTAACACTTTAAAAGAAAGCTTGAGTGGCTATATTACTATCAAAGTAGATTTTAGATCAAAGAATATTGCCAAGGATAAAAAGGGACATACACTGATAAAACAGTCACTTCCTCAAGAGGATATAACAATCCTCCATGTTGACAGGGCACGGTGGCTCACGCCTGTAATCCCAACACTTTGGGAGGCTGAGGCAGGTGAATCACCTGAGGTCAGGAGTTCAAGACCAGCCTAGCCAAAATAGTGAAACCCTGCCTCTACTAAAAATACAAAAATTAGCCAGGCGTGGTGGCAGGTGCCTGTAATCCCAACTACTCAGGAGGCTGAGGCATGAGAATCACTTGAACCCGGGAGGTGGAGGTTGCAGTGAGCTGAGATCGCGCCATTGTACTCCAATCTGGGGGACAAGAGCGAGACTTCAACTAAAAAAAAAAAAAAAAAACCAACAATCCTCCATGTTTATGCACCCAACAACAGGACTTCAAAATACATGAAGCAAGACCTGTAGGGAGAAATAAGTTGATAATTATAGCTGGATATTTCAATACTTTTTCAAGGATACAAGGTGCATTATCAAGACAGACCGTATACTGAGTCATAAAACAAGTATTGATAAATGTAAAAGGATTCATAACATACAAAATATGTTCTTTGGCCACAATGAAATTAAGTTAGAAATCAATAACAGGAAGGTATCTGGGAAATCCCCAAATAACTGGAATAAACACACTTTTTATTCCAATTATTCAAAGAAGAAATCAGAAGGAAATCAAGAGTATTTTGAAATTGAATGAAAATGATAACACAGCATATCAAACTCTGGGGGGATGCAACTAAAGAAGTACTTAGGGGAAAGGAAACATCTCAAATCAATGATCTTCAAGTCCAACAGAGCTTAAAGGTAAAATAAGCAGTGAATTATTTTTAAAAAGTTAAATCAATGATCTAAGTTTTCCCTTTAAGAAACTTGTAAAAGAAGAGCACATTAAACCCAAAGTAAGCAGAAGAAAGTAAATAATAAAGATAAAAGTAGAAACTAATGAAAAAGAAAAACAGAAAAACAATGGAGAAAATCATTAAAACAAAAAGCTGCTTCTTTAAGAACGTGAAGATGTCTAGTATTTCAAGGACTATTAAAGAACAAATGCAG